TCTCCCACTAATCCACGAGGACCGGCAACATCCCCTATTTGGTCAAGGATAACAATGAGGATAGTTGCCGACTGGATGGTTAAGTGCAATTGTATAGTTGTCGCTCACTACGCCTGAAGGTCACCGAACGCGATAATTAGCTTAATATTTCCACTGTAAGGCCCAACCAAAAGTAAAATTATGTTAAAGTTTAATCTGGTGAGATTTCTATAGCCAATTTTTCCCTGATATTTACTTGAAAGGGCAAATATAAGGAAACTTCAATAATTTTAATCGACTAAGAACGATTTTAGTGCGAGAAAGCAGCAAACCTAGCTCACTAATGCTTGTCTGAATGACTCAGTGATTAGTATGAAAATCGTGAATGATTAGAGTGATTCAGGCGAGCTTTCAAGGTTCGCTTCACTATACGTTGATACAAGTCAAGATGTTAATCGAGCACTACGAATATCTTGACGCATAATATGTTATCTTCGCTATCTTTTTGCATTTGGTGCTTCTTCCATTCCTTGTTGTTTTTTTTCATTATACTCTCATTTTTATCGCTGTATTTTATTACGACGTTGCCCGACACCCTGAAAACTTCCTCTAAATGCTTTCAAACACCAGGTTTCCAAAGATCTTATGTCACTTGTATAGAAGGTGTTGCTTTCGTGACTGCTGTGAGTGGATTTGGTAACGTTTTCTGATTGCGTGGAGCACTCGGAGATATCCGCGTTTTGTTGTTGGTAGATGTGGCAGAGAACATTGACGACTGAGCACGAGATGCTTGGGCTGAGCTCAGATGATGACTTGAAGACACCTGAATAATAATTTCATTCCAAACTATTTCTCAATACTCAGTTTGCATGACATACGATCAAATGGTTGCCTTTTATGACCTGCCCATATGCAATTAGCCTATGCACTTTGCAAAGACAATACAATATCTACTAGTTTTCTTGTCGACCTTCGTGCACTATTGTGGTGATCTGTTTCATGCGCATAGTCTGTGAATTTCACTTTGTGACAGATGATCACTTATCAGCTATGAATGCGCGATGTGAACTACAAATAGGTTTACCCATTTTGTAGATGCCTGCCCTAGGAGACAATTTCAACCTCTACGAGTCTACTTCACATTCTGTCAACCATTTTGCTGGTTCTTCTTCATACATGAGCAACTCACATATCTTTCATTTTTGGTGTGTAATTCCCTCTACCTTGTCAGCCTCGGAAAATCGCATGTATGATACATAATCTCCCTAAATTTTCGCCTGGCCCCGTTACGTTTTGAGAACACCGTTCAAGCTTCTATCTCTTCTTCTTCTCTTACAAAGTTTTTTTTTTTGACATGATCGAGTTATCAACCAACATCTCCGTCGCCTAACAGAGCGCTAAGAGGTTCGATGAGTGAAATAAGCGCGTAGAGTCAAGAAGTGCGCAGAATTCCGTTAATGTGCTAGGTAATATTTTGCGAAGCTTGAACGCGATGACGAATACTCCTTTCTTCTTTAGCATAAGCCCTCGCCAGACCCAGAGTGTGGCTTTTATAGTAAATGAACTACCTATCTCACTAGTTCTTCACGGAATTCATCATGAACGAAATCTTCATCCAATACACATGCCATCTTTTCTAGCTTTCTAGCTCTCGTCGCTGCTCTTCTCTGTGCCATACAAGATAGATTTACGTCGACAAAATCAAGGTTTGAAGGAATTTTTCCAACAATTGTGTCGTCTTTTCCCAATGTCCAGTTACCTCGCTATGGAACAATATGCTGTAACATATTATAACCGTAAGTGATTATGAAAAAATCTCTCTGGGTTTACTTGTCAGCTAGATGAGCATTCAGCTAGATTTCCTCTTGTGAAATTATTTCACTCTGACCTCTCAAGGTTCATAGGAAAGCGGAACAGTCGAAACGTCGCCCAGTTAGTTATCGAATCAATCTTGTCAGCATCTTCATGTCTGTTTATAGAGGAAACAAAGAATTAATTCAATTCGCACTTGACTAGTGCTCATAAAAAAAAAAACACCATTGGCGATTTTTTTGAAGACTTTTGCCGCGTCATTCCCGGCTTCGAGTTTGAGTTTTATGAGGCGAGTTTTGGAAAATCGGCCTAAAATGTACTCACAATGCGTATCTCGTCTTTCCTTGTAAATCCACGAATTCTTCTTGAGCTAATAACTGCATCGACTCTCTAAGTCAAAAAACTACCACCTACTATTTGTAAGACTGCAGTGGGCTTTCTCGTCGATGTGGAACTCAACGATGTCGAGGTCTGACGGCGATTTCTTTTACCCGAACAATGAGATTGGATAGGAGTACTGTAAATAAAAATGCAAACATGGTATCACCTCTCTTTTACCTCTCCTGCTTCAAATTTGGCGATCCGCTATCATGATCCACTGGTCTTCCTTCGGCCAAAGTCTTACGAAACAAATTTGTAAATATTGGCTGGTTTACTCATTTCTAAGAGATAAGTAGCACATGTAGAGCAGTGGATAGAGGTGCCGTGCAATACGCACTCGTCGATAGCTGGTTGATTTCGCTCGTACGTCCTCACCAACTCCCTAGTAGCTATGGCATGTTGATGCCACACTTGTTCCAAAGGACAGAAGTAATGAGTTATACTACTAAACGATGTGAAGATATGAGCAAAGCTTCGGACTTCGGATAATTTTCAAATCAGCGAACTAGAGCTCACATGTTATCCACCTTACCACTCTGAACTCTTTTCCATTCTCTCAACCATCCTCTTATCCTAACGATGATATCAGCGATCGCATCCGTCAAAGAGATTGTATGGGAAGCACAAATCATCACTGAACCTATCTAAGTTGAAGGACAGTTGAACCAGGATGGTTTCATTCTGTATTTATTCCCTAATCTTCAACCCTTTCATTACCGTGAGCACTAATTTCGAAACAGGCTGTTCGTCGTTTTGAAGATCTCAACTTCAAGCCTAAACTATCTCCGGCCTAGTTTCACCGCATAAGGCTTTTTTGCTAAGATTTTTGCAGTGAAGCGATAACTTGTCGAAAGTAAATATCTTACCAGGGTCCAACCATGGATAGGCGTTCTCGAAGTGCTACACTCTTAAAAAGCTCTTTCAGACTGTTGAAGTGGAATAGGTAGGCAGATGTCAAAACATGCAAGAGACACAGAAATACATCCCAACTATCATGCAAAACTATGCTGGGAGTTTAATACCATGTCTTGATAATGGACAGCTATCCTTTATCACTCACATGAGGTAGATCACAGAAAAGAACTATTTGAGATATGAGACATAGAAGAAGATAACAAATGCGTTAGGGTAGCGGATTTACAGAAAGACGTTTGAGGAAACCAAGTGAAAGAGCGGTAATCTCAAGAAACCGGCTGCCTTACCATTTACTAGAGCTCACTAACTATATTTCTTGACCTTATTGCTCATTCAAATCGTCCTCATTAAATGCGGTTGATAAGCCCGACACGCGAAAATGGCAGCGATCGTGAACGAGAAAAGAGTTTGCAGTAAATAAAAGTCGCAACACTAAATTGATGGTCTCTGAAATTCAATTCAATGCATGAGGCATCTCTAAGTTGCTGAAAATCCAAACGCCTTGTTCATTCGTCCTCATTGAACAACTGATGATAGCAAGCGTAATCTGACTCCAAGACAAAACATAAAAAATGGTCAACACAATTTCAAGGGTGATTGTTGCCATAAATATCAGTTCCGTTTGCGAAATTGCTTATTTCAACATTTTTTCAAAACTTGATTCTCATCATTCAATTTTCTTTTCACTATGGCCTTCCTAAAAGGACCATTTCGATATATTTGATGGTTTCTATGGACACGTAGTATTACATGAAACCATTCTAATGATGTAAATGTAAAGTATGGGATAATCTCCATGTCCTCGATGCGGCTTTGATGTGGCATCAAAAATGTCACCGAAAACTGAGCCAATGATATGAGGACTTCATCTTAGCTTGATATTTAAAGCAGTAACGCTTCACGCTGCACATTGCAGAAGAACACACCGTAGATACACCGCGGCACGATGCGAATTAACATGGAATGGTAGCTGAACATCTGACCCCAATGCATTGTTGTACCGTTGTCAAATGCTTGTGAAGTATAAGCTTTCCGTTTACATTAAAAATCACATGAAAAACAAGGATGATAATAAGTGAGAATACATGTACATAAAAAGCAGATTGAATATCCCACCTGAGCCGGGGATATCGGCAACGTCGCCAAGGGTGATGGAGCAACGTGTGGCGGTGATGAAATGGTAAGCGAGCTGAGAACTAGCGGATGCGCTAACGAAGGTGGATGTAACGGAACCGCAGAAGTTGTCGTCACCATGAACAGCGTCGGAATTGATGATGACTACATGGAAAAAGGGTCATAGTCGGAGGAAAGGTTGAACATACTGTTAAGTTTGCTATGAGAAAAAAATTACTGAGTCATGATCTGACCAAATACAACGACATAAAAAGGGAAAAATTACCCTGATACACAATCATTATCTGAATTAATTTAGAAGATGTGAATGACAAGTTCGAAAATAGGGTAATGAAAAAAAAAACCGCGTTCATCCCTTCTCCTAACTCACCTATGTGAACGTTGGGAAGTTTAAATGACTCACATGGTGCTAGAATAGCAGCTGCTTCTCGATGCAAACAGCCTTATAGTAATTTTCATTCATTCTTATAGAATTGATAGTACTATTTACACGACTGCTCATCCCTTTCACTGAGCGGATCCCACCACTTCTAGCACTCTCTTGATCTTCCCGCATGGATCTTTCACAAAGATCTTAGGACATCTTGCGTCTTGTTTCGACTGCTGCATGAAGTCTTGTCGTTTTTATGAATAACGAAGAGCGCTGATCGGGCAAATCTTCTTGCAACCTCGATGAACCGTACCTTAATACATCACTAACCACTCGGTCACCGTCTCACCGCTCCTCTTCACCACAAATGACGCAACTAGGATGAGAATTGAGTGGTGAGCAAAAACAAGGCCTCAGGTGGGAATCGAACCACCGTTTCGTCCTATCCGGGGACGCGTGCTCTACCACTACACCACCGAGGCACATTTGCCCGACATTCTTCAACAACTCTATATTAGCTATCAGCCACCAACCTTTAACAGGTTTGGTCGGAAATGCGATTTCGCTTTATGAATCCCATTAAGCTGACAGCCACTGTCATATAAAATACTTCAAAATTATAGTATTTCTATTGCTTTTTTCGCAGTGTTATGATGTTACTTATAAAACTGAGAGAATTGAGTGGTGAGCAAAAACACAGTCTCAGGCGGGAATCGAACCCGCGTTTCATCCTCCTATGAGTAACATCATGACACTACAAAAAAGCAGTAGAAATACTATAACTTCGAAGTATTATATATAACATAGGATGTCAGCTTAACCGGAATTATGAAGCGAAATCGTATATCCGACCAACCTGTTAAAGGTTGGTGGCTGATAGCTAACATAGAGATGTTAAAGAATGAAAGGTCGGGCAAATGTGCCTCGGTGGTGTAGTGGTAGAGCACTCGTCCCGGACAGGATAAACGCGGGTTTGATTCCCGGCTGAGGCCGTGTTTTTGCTCACCACTCAATCCTCTTAGTTATATAAGTAACATCATAACACTGCGAAAAAGCAGTAGAAATACTATAATTTCGCAACTAGAATTTGCAGGATTTTTCCTTCTCCTCCAGCAAAACAATGAATTTTTAGATTTGTGGAACCCATGCCATATATTTCCCAGTTTATTGCGATAATGCACTACTTGCGAGCATTAAACAACAGGGATATATACAATCTTTAAACACCTTCACTTTTACCTTCTAAACAGTGTCATGATGTTCTAATTATACATGTAAGAAGTCTAAGTGATATGCAAAACATTCGATCACAGGCGCGATTAAAATCCCTAAACCACTTAGCGTATGACTTTACTACCATTTCTAGTTCGATATTAACCTATTGCAACTATGGATTATACACCACTCAGCTATTTTAGATATAATTGAAACATCACAATAGTGCTTAGAAAGCAGTAAAATAAAAAAAAGTCGCAAGACTAATTGGAACTTTTCTTATTCAGCCGATTTTAGCGGTAGGATGATGGTACAAATTTTATTCAATAATGCTGAATAATACGCAAAACTAGGAAGAGGAAGCAGACAGAAAAAAGAGAGCAGCATGGGCCGCATTCGAGCCTCTCAGAGTAGTCACCGATCAGATAGCCGAGCACAAATTCCGCGCTCACATTTTCGTTTGGCAGTTCTCCCAGCGCTCTTTCATGCGACAGAGAGTGGGCTGATAACTCGACCACGTTAAGACTACTGCAAACAACTCATAGAGCGCTCGAACGATGTCTTCTGAGACTTAGTCGGCACTCACAACATCTAGCCGGCTTGCGCAGTTCAGACCTCCGGAATTTCTCTCATTTTCGTGATCAAGAAGAAATCAGATTGATAGTGAAGCACAGAAGAGCCGGTCATATTGTAAGAAAATCATACGACAGATGGACAAAACGAGCTATAGAGTGGACTCCACGTGGTCACACCCGACCTCGAGGACGATCAACCACACGTTGGGCGGGCGTGTTTGTAAGAAGAACTGATCAGTTGTGCTCGTAGTTGTCGATATTTTACAGATCGCATCAGACCACCACGATGAACGACTATTGCGAGAAGAAGGAAAGAATGGAAGATGTGCTAGAGTCCGCACAATTTGTGAATGCGGATCGTCCAAATATCCAAGTAAGTAAGATATCTAAAACTTTGAACGTCAGGCGGAAATCGAACTCGCTTTTCTCCCTTTCAAAGGGAGCGTGCTAATCATTACACTATCGACTATTCTGTTCTGCCTTCACTCATTCTTCGATAGAACCCAACGATTTGTTAGCAGCCAACCGCCTGCGGTTTGGCCTGGAACGCACATATCGGCATTGATCTCAGGCGCATGCTTTGTAACATAATCCCACTGCTAAAGTGGTTGAATAAAGAGACTTCCAGTTGATTATTCATATATCCAATATCTGTTAGCGTACTGGGATAAGCATAAAGAGACTTCCAGTTGATTATTCATATATCCAATATCTGTTAGCGTACTGGATAAGCCGAATGTATTTTCCAGGTCAAAACGTTGATGATTGGTCGCTGACAGATCGTGTGCTATTGAAGAAAATGAGTGATGACAGAATGGGAACGTCAGTAGTGCAATTGGTTAGCAGACGTCGCCAGAGAGAGCGAAATGCAGGATTTTCATCTGACCTTCATAGTTCCGCATATCACTTAGCATAATTGGATATAGATTTTCGAAATATTAGGCTGTCTCATAATTTCTTCCTTAATACCGTTTCATCCAGTTTTTTCTATTCAAAGCTGCGCTATTGTCAAAAGGTTGTGGTATGTCCGAGTAAAGGATAAGCTCTCGGCGTTGATCAATCCCTGAGGGATGCGCCATGCATTCGACTTCAATTTCTAACTTCGTTTGAGGTGATTGAATGCATATCTGGCCTTTACAATGACTCGCGGTAGCCTCCCGCTGAACCGAGTCAGTGCTGCTTATCCTCCCAGACAGTCTGAGACCTGTTTGGTACCAATTTACCGACCCCGGAGGGATGGATGGCTTGGTGGGCCATGAGCGCGAGATCGAACCATTGACCTCGTGTGCGACGCAGGGCACCTCTAACCACTGCGCCACATGCGCTCCTATGTCGGAGTAAGTTCTGGTAAAATTGTCTTTCAACCGACTTTCAGTTTTTTAGAAACCTCGCGGTAAAAATCTGATATGTTCTGAGAGACTGTTTTGAGCCTTTTGAGGTTTGGTATAACAGTGGTTTGAGTACGTTTCGGCGGTCTCGCCCGCCTCATCGGAACCACAAGCTACAACGGTCACCCGAGTCTAAATGTTTGACAACAGCAGAAAGTTATCGACTGAGAAATGACTAAACCAACATTTTACGTTGTTGAGTTCTAACATACTCCCTCGTTTCTTACTATTAGTAGGGTAACAGTGCTGGAGATGAGTCCTGGTTCTACTAAGAGGGAAACTCGAACCACGCCTACAGACTGCCTAGCCGCAAATACCCGCTAGATCAACCAATGCCCAAGTTACAAGTTTGAAAGATTATGCTCTCCCTTTTTCTAGAATTGACAAAGTATATCTCGTTAAGTGCTCGACAGGAAACTGAATGTTCAGGATTTCCTAATTTTACAGCTGCCACACGTCTAGGGGTTGATTATTGAGTAGACTGTGTTTTACGCTGAAAAATCTTTAACTACTTCTCAGCTTCAGTATTTCGTAAAATGTATGTCTCTCAGGTAACTTAGGGGCAGGAAAGATTATGATTATGAGAAGATATCTAACATCACGTACGTCATTCTACTGTTGACGCTAATCGGCTACAGTTTTCTCATTACGGCCATTTCAAATTTGGACAACATTGAAGGAAAAAAGTGCTATGAATTTTATGATCAGCAGTCGTAATGAGCTTACGAATAGCTTAAAAAGTAAAGAAACTATTAACTTAGCGCAACTAAATAGGCGATTTAGAAAATTACCAGTCAATGGTGTAACTTAACTTTGACGAAGATGCCCATTTATAAAGGAATCTGGAAGAAAACCACTCATAGTAGAATTCCAGATTAGGGCTAGGTAGTCGTTTATCTTCAAGATAAACAGGTTTACTGAGTTTGATGAGTGGTGTTGGATCAGAATCAAACATTCTAGCTCATCAATAAAGTTCATATCGCCACCTTGAAAGCATAACACAAGTGACCGAAATCCAAAATTTAGGCTTTATTGTGATCTGAGAAGGGAGTTACGTACCATAATTATGTAAATTTCGATGAAACTTCATCTAAAAAATTTTTTAGAGAAGTCGCATCATAACTCGTCGAGAAACGACGAATCCTTGTTTTCTATGCTCTATCTGCAAAATTTGCTCATCTACTCATAGTTTTTGTATTATTTCAGTATTTGTCGTTTTTCTGTACAGATTAACAATATGCGAGTGAATTACGGCTCTTCTGATTATAGGGAAACAAATCCGACCTTATTTGCTGGATAAGAAGTTTTTATAGGAGTTTTAGTGTTCATTCGAAAGCTTAGATTTCTGGCTAGAGCCCCACATGGCCAATTTTTCAAAACACCTATAACGCTGTGAAATCCAAAATAATATTATCTTCCACAAAACCACGTGTTTTTCTCTTATCTCGCTAACATAACTCCCTCCTTAGGGTTCTGGTATTCATTCGATAGCACGAGTTTCGAAAAACTCAAAAATATGCTTGCCTTTTGAAAAAGCATGATAGCACTCTAGGAGAAAGAAAAGATTTGTGCCTTGCAGCTCACCGGACGGAGCTGTTGTTCTGGACTATTAATAATTATTAAATAGCGTAATGTTTGCTGACTCCAATGCTGCACTTATTTTTGGAAAGACGGTTTCTGTGCAGTGCAGTAGGGAGATGTGCCACCAGCCAAAGCGCGAAACAATCGATGGTTGTGCAAAAACGATCACATCCGCCCTTTCCCCGCCCCTCGCCACTCCATGGAATGGCCAAAAGACACCTTTTCATGCATGTGAATAAATCTTATGTTCACTGTTGCACTGCAAAGATACGGTCTTTGCAGCAGCGCTGAAATCAGAAACGATTACGCTATCGAATGATTACTACTAGTCCAAAGAAAGAGCTCTGTCCTGCGAGAAAAATATGCACGTCTGCAATGCAAGAAATTTTTTCCTGCAAGAAATTTCCTCCTGAAGCAACGTCAAGAAAAGACTTTTCCGAAAATCGGCGAGGTGGGGATGTAGCCTGAGGTCTCAGCTTTTGAATCGTTACTAACACTCCAATGACAAGTTCCTCTTCAGCGAATGAGATCGGTTTTCATTTATTTCCTAATAATCAGAAAAAAACTTGAATTACAATACGGGCCTTTCAATACACGATTCACATTGTATTACCAATGAAAACAGCAGTTCGTTCTTAATGTAATTTGTTTACAGGAGATTATTGTACAAAACTACTCATAGATAAATAGTTTAACATGCATTGTGAGGATTTCTTGACAAGG